ACAGTATACCACGGTATTTGTAAGTTAAGAAGTCGTAATATACTAGAGTACGCCGAAAACATCCAAGATTGCGGAAGAGGGCGTTGACCCCTGACCCATTGGCCCACCCGAAAGTTGGCAGCCAGCCCGGCGACCATTTTCACACTCTAAGGGGTGTCCGAGACACGAAATACAAAATAATCTTACGCCCCAAAACACATATACAACTAGAGTTCCACGATCTCATACCTTCGCCAAATGATGTTAGCTTTTATGAATAAGAACTTATATACAATGTATTAATCCCCCTGATTATGCAAATAGGATCCGCAATTGCATGAATTATATCTGTTGATCATAATCTCCACCAACAGTCTTATTTTAACAAAGAATGTCATTATAGCATTTCCTCATATATTATGCAAATGAGGTCCTTATTTGAATAAGTTATGTTAAATTATGTTCACCTTCATTAAACTTCAAACACCCCAAGTATAAAATTCCAGGCAGTTACCACTATGCAATTATAACATTTTCTCATTAATTATGCAAATTAAGTCTTCATTTGCATAATCGATATCTGCCTGTGTTTCTCTCGTTGTTAATAACATATGTCGCAAGCTTGAACTTCCTATCATGGAATGCAGCTGATTAATAGAATTTCCTCATTAATTATGCAAATTACATCCATATTTGCATAATTGTAATATCATTATGTCAAGCATTACTCAAGCTACCTACATACCAAAAATCATGATGATCCATCAATCGGTTCTTGAGTTATCCTTCTTTAAACATTTGTCCTTTAAACCCCCCTGCAGTTCCAGAGCAAGCTGCTAGGGGGCCCAAACTCACGTCACTTCTTTCCCAGCACAAAAGCTACCTGCCATCCAAATTTCGTCACCCTAGTATGTCTAGATCATGAGATATCAAAACCGGAAGTTCAGCTGCAGTACCATGACAAGCCGCCAGGGGGCCCAAAATCTAATCAGTTCGAGCTCTCATCAAGACCTACCCACCTACCAAATATCAAGATAATCCATATAAGCTTTCTCGAGTTATGCTGTTGACAGACACACACACACACACACGGCCACGAAAACATAACCTTCTCCAATTCTTGGCGAAGGTAAATATCGGATCCTCAATTGCAAATGCTGTTACACATGCGACGTTGTCGCCATGCCGGCCCTCTGACACAGAAGTATACAACGTTTTCAGTTTGTGGAAAACTTCTTTCACACATTTTACCTTAAACTGATGTCTTATTGGTAAAGGCAAATGTTTGTTGTATGTCATTATGCTCCATAGGAATTTCTGTGAAATGTGTAGTTTTCAAATATCGCTCTAAACTACGTGCACAAATATAGGAGGGAACATCAAATCTCATTCTATGTCACAGATACAGGAGGTAGTTGTATTGACTATTGTTTATATTTCACTCCACACCACAGGTATGCGAGTGAAATATATTGCTTTTCCTAACATGTCCTGTTCTTCTTGTACCTTTTTTTATTCTCCAGCCATTTGGCCAACTGTATAACATGTATAAAAATGACATAGAATTTAGCATGGGGATGACTGGGACATATGCCCACGTTGCTTCATTTATATATTGAGAATACTGTAAATTTTTACCAAGGAGGTTATGTTTTTGTTGCGTTTATTTATATTTTTTTACATCAGATTTACAACATGAAGAAGGCAGTGGGGGTAGCTCTGCCCTTGGTGCTTATTCTGGCTGTCTGCGTGTACCTTGCCGTGACAGGACCTAGGAAGGATGAGACTTCAAAGGGACATCGTGTCATCAAAAGGTCCTTAGGTAATGCTCCCGTCGTTATCCCTTGACATAGCTTTCGGTTATAGTAAGCAATGGAACACAGGTTCGGCTATTTGATGTGATTTGATTTTTTCTTATCTGTCTACAACAGGCAAATACATTGTACACGAAAAACATTAATAAGCAACCTCAAAATGATATGCAATCTAGACGGTAGCTTGCGATGTAAGAACGGAATTAATGATAATGGGGAAATGGCAGGATGATCCAAGAGTTGCGCTCTTAATATCCTTGTCAGAGTATCAATATTTCTATTGCAATGTTGTCTTAAATTAGTTTTCCAAACATTTATAGTTACTGTGATTTCCACTTTAATAGCTGCATGGTCAACACCTTTAAACGGAAGCTAGCCCTCCTTGCAGCACTGCATTTAAAGGCCAACGTCTAGTTTCTATAGTTTTTATGTTTACCTTCGCAGACGGAAAACATATAGCTTTTGCTCTGCTTCTTCCTCCTCTTGTTCCTCTTCTTCTCCAATCAAATAAGGTCAGTGATCAGGATCAGACGTCTGTCATCATGGTAACTGGTGTTGGGTTACATGGTGTTGATTGCAAGTGCCATGCAGAACTTAGTT